GTTGGGCACAGGCTGCCCAGGGTTGGCAGGAGGCTGTGGGAGCTGGCAGCCCCCTGAATCCGGGTGGCCTTGGGTACCATGCCGTGCCATGTAGGTAAAAGACCACAACCCACTGCCAGGGTCTGGCTGTCCCTCGGGGGGCTCAGCCGTCCTGGCGAGGCTGTTGCCTGGGCTTGAAGTTGAACGAGGAGGGAAAAGTACTTAAAAATCAAGGCCAAATGGGTCAGTTGGTCACAGCGACACAGGCTGGGCGGGGAGCTGGGCTGCCTGCCCTCCGGCGCTGCAGCTCAGCCGTGAAACCTATTTTTAGTGGTGAGCTAAAGGCGGTTGGCGCAGTTCGAGTGCATGGAGGGGAAGAGGATGGTACGCTCCGGTGGAGGCTCTGCTCCAAACGGTTTGCATCCTTGGCAAGGAGGGACGGAGGTGCTGGCCTTCCCCAGCCTGGCCTCAGCTGTGGTGCTAATTAGGGAGGTCGGAGCTGGCAGGGCTGCTCTCCCCACCAGCCGCAGGCAGGAGCACTGCTGGAGCCGCTTAATGGGGAACAGATTCCCCCAGTGCGGGGGGGCCCTGCGGGCTGGCCGTGCTTGTGTCCTAGTGTGGGAAGGGGGTGGCAAGCACCCCAGGCACCCCAAGCACCCAGCTCCCCCTCACCTGCTCCCCCAGCTTTGCTCCAGCATCAAAAGCCCTTTCAACGCCGCTCCCGAGGGATCAGGTCCCCGCGCAGCAGCTCTGTCCGCCCGCTGCGGCTTGAAACCCATGGGCAAGGCAGAGCGGGGAGGGGGGGAGCAGAGCCGGGCTCTGCGTGGAGCGTGATGCGCTGCTGAGTGTATGTGAGATTCACGCCTACGAGTGTACTTCAGTGACGGCTGCCTTCGAAAAATGCGAGTCAAATAGCAGTTGCCGGCGCAGGGCTACTCAGAAGCGCAGCTCAGCCCTGCGGAGTGCTGCTCTGCAAACCCACCCTCAGAGAGGTCCCACCTTCTCCACCAGCTGTGCAGGGCTGCACGCTGGAAGGGGCAAAGCCAGAGGTTTGCCAGCCCCTAGCCCAAGCCTGGGGCACATTCACTGTCCCTGAGTAGTACCGGCTGCTCTGCTCACATCTTGGGCGCTCCTGAATATCACAGGGATGGTTCTGGGACACGGGAATGACAGACAGAGCAGGGAATGATGGACCAGAGCAGGGAATGACTGACCAAAGCAGGGAATGATGAACCAGAGCAACTCAAATCCCTGAAAAATTGCTTGAAAGGCAAAGTTCAACTCTTCCTCTGGATGCAAGCTGATGCTGACCATCCACCTTGCAAACCACCGAGGAAGGCAGGAGTTAAAACTTTCCTGCCTGGGAATTAATTAACAACAGATGTGCTCAGTTTTAACTAATTACTCTCCTGCCAGCACTTGGTTTTTATGGTTCTATCAGAGCCAGGAGTCACAGTACTGTGCCCACGCAGATGCTGGCCCCGCGGGCTGGGCTTTACTGGGCACTCTGGACTTGCCCGCCCTCCTTCCCCAACCCGACTGGCCCCTCATTTGCTGTCTTAAATGAAACAATTCAGTGAAATGGGCTGAAATTCATTAAAAGGTCCAGTCACCTAAACTAGCATTGCTCGGTTGGTGCTGTTTTTAGAGCAGCTTGGTGGCAGGGTCCCCCCAGGGTCCCCGGGATGGGCAGTGCGTGATCCCAGCTGGCCATCGGTGCTGCTTGTCCGATACTCTCTGCTGGCGAATTTATTATGGATGGGACATTGGGTGTCTTAATGAGGGGAGATTATTGTCTAATTGCTAATAAACTGCCAGAGCTGTGCATTCCCGGGGCTGTGTCCGTGCTGCCGAGCTCCCGTGCTGAGCACGGCTAGCGATGCCGCCCGCGTACAGCC